TTGATCTCGCAGAGCATCAGGGCAGCAGTCAGCAGGCGGCCTCGCTAGCCATACTGAGGGTCATCCGTCTGGTCCGTGTTTTCAGGATTTTTAAACTCTCCAGACACTCAAAGGGCCTGCAGATTCTCGGGCAAACGCTTCATGCGAGCCTCAGGGAGCTGGGGCTGCTTATATTTTTCCTGCTAATTGGAGTTATTTTATTCTCAAGTTCGGTTTATTTTGCTGAAGTAGATGACCCCGAGTCTGGATTTACAAGTATACCTGATGCGTTTTGGTGGGCCGTGGTGACAATGACCACAGTCGGTTATGGAGATATGTATCCCTCCACTATCGGAGGTAAATTCGTCGGATCCTTGTGCGCCATCGCCGGAGTGCTGACTATAGCGCTACCTGTTCCTGTGATCGTGTCCAATTTCAATTATTTTTACCACAGAGAGAACGAACAGGAAGAAAACCTCCAATACGTGCACGTGACCTGTGGACATCAGCCGCAGCCCTCGTTCGGTGAAAGTGATTCGATCAAAAGTAACCAGTCGTTCTCCAAAACCGAGTCCTACCAAGAAAGCGACGACTTAGAAGCTCTGACACATCTACACGTGACTCCAGCGGAGACATACACAGTGAAACTGACAGATGTATAAAGAAGACCTCAAAAAATCTGGTGAGTTTTGTTTCAGTGGACACAGGTTTCTGTGGGCGTTTTGAGCCTTTTGTCTGTAACTCACCAGAATAAAGCTTGATTTGATTTCACTAAAACGAATGAAGAAAACAGTAATTCCTCCCGCTTATGCAACACACAGGTATTTAAAAAAAAAAATCAAAAACAAAAACATTACGCTCATTGTTGTGGCTTTCGCACCATCAGTGAACAGTTTATGATAACAGACTCGAAGAGGAAATTCCAGTAAACAAGCAAAAATAAAACTGGGGAGATTTTCCTGACTTTGGTTTGACTGCAGATTTTTTTAAACCCTCTGTAGATGACAATAGTGATGTGGCCTTACTTTGTTTGCGCACAAAGGCATTGGAAAACAAAGCGCACATTATCCTTTTTTGTTAATGAAAACTATTGTTTTTTAAATAAAACCAGAGAAAAGAATTCGGCACCAGTAATAAACGGAACCACTAAAAAAACAATCGTCGTGTAAACCAGAGCTGGGATTTATGCTGGCCATGTGCGTGTCTGTATTTGGCTGCTCTGTGGCGAGATGGCTGCAGTCACGAGAGCACTTGGCGCTCAGATGTTGATTTGTGGTGAACAGTTTTTCGTGCCCACTCTTAATCACTTTTATCCTGCTTTTTGTAAACCTTGCTGCTTCACCTTAGCCCCCATGTCAAGATCTAATGACCTCTTGGATGGTACATTTGTGTGTTAACAGGGACTCCAGCCCTGTGTGTGTCACGTTTTAATTTGATGAAATTTTCTTCTTGCATTATAAAATCTCAAAAAAATGTGAAATTCAAAGTTATCAATATGAAAGACGAGAGAAATCGTCATTGTCTTTATTTTTCTTTGGGACATGTGCTTCTGTGGAACTCTGGTCTGTAAGAACAAGTGAGCTCTGTGCGCCGCTGTGTGGATAATAAACATCCATGCAGTCAGCACTCCTGCTCAGGCTCCTCAGTGCGCAAAATTAACGCTTTAGCTTAAGTGTCTTTGCACTGTTGCAGTTGGCCTTTACTGATTTAGCCATAAGCCCCCGAGATCCTGCTATTTGACTCTGTATGTATCCGGATACTTGTGGCGGTTAAGTAAGGTCAGCACAGGTCTGCTTTCCCTCACCTCCTAAATGTTAACGGGGTGGGTTTTGTTTTGTGCTTACTTGCAGGAGGCAGAAGATTAAGTGGAGCTTGTTGTTCCCACAGAGTCACAACAAGACACACGCGTGGCGCTCTCTTCTCCTCCAAAACACTGGATCGGTTTCTCACGGACTATTCTCGCACAGCCAGTATTATAACCTACAGAGACATTACAGTGGAAACGCATGGAAAAGGTTCAGTCTTGTGTAATGGACATACGTTTTTGTGTTAGAAAAAAACATTCTTTTGTGTACGCTTTAAAAATGACCATGCATTCTTTGTATAGAAGAACTGTGTATATATTGCTCTCTTGCCGCTTATAATGCAACGTTGTAAAAAAAAAAAAAAAAAAACCTTTATTTTATCTTAGGCCAGAGCATTACAATGCAACGTCTGCATGACCTGAATTCATTGTGGATTAAAAATGTAATAAAATATTTATTTTTCTAATGTAAACACGAACGTGAACTTAACTTAATCCTTTTGATAAATGATTCATGAAGAAGAAAATACCACTTGTCATTTTTCATTGTTTCACCGAGGAGAGCAGAAAAGAAAAACACCAAACCCTTTGTTAAAAAAAGAAAATTAAATAATAAAATCTATGCTCACTAATTAGTTTAATACGTTTTTATCACTTTTGGTGCTGAATCGTGGAAAATGGGAGCAGAAGCAGACATCGGATTGTCTTGCCACGAAACCAATTAACCTAATAAAATGTCATAGTGATAAATGAAGGGGTTTGTCTTTAAGCACATTTTAAGAAATTAGACAGAAATCCGATCACCCGACTTTTGTGTTTATTCTGTGTTTTTGAAAGTTAGAAGATGCTTGCTTTAAGTAAGAGGAGCCCATCTGCTCACACCGTCAGGTATCTGCATACAGCTCAGCAATTAACTAATGGAGCAGATTATTTACTTGCTTCGTTGTCAGTGCGTCTATTTTATTTTTATTCATTTTTGTTTCGAAGGAAGTTTTCAGACGTCGATCAATCATCTGCGCTGTCCGCGGTGCTGAAAGTCATCAGCGGAGCATTATGGAAAATTCCCCACCTTTTTTGGTACACCTGCATGCCTTCAGGGGCCAAAATCTAACAGCGACTTCACCACTGAGGAACCTTTTAAAGAATCGGATGTGAGAGCTGCACAGCCTGGAGAGGAAGCAGTACTTTGTAGCTTTAAGGGCTTCAAACCGATTGCTGATGAGTAAAATGTAGCACGCTCTTCATTAGTGCAATGTTCAAACTTACTACACCGAATCTGGTATGCACTGGCTCAGATACAGACTTGCGCATCGAAGTCCTTGACGCGACCAACTAAAGATTTAATCCTTAAATCATTAAGAGACGGAAAGGAAAGCTGATGCTTTAATCGCCAAACAACTGATTAGATTCTCATTTTCTAAGATATAGATGATCTCAGATGTGACGTGGAGTGGGTTCCGGGGATCTCTGTATTTTCTTTGCGGTGTGATTGCACCAGCGCTGGCACACGAGCGTTCTTGTTTTTGTGGTGTATGGAGAACTTCTGGCGGCGTGCTTTGGTAGAGCCGGTCTGCATTGCGTCGAAACCTTCCAACTCCTCCTCCTCCTTCTGCTGCCCTCCCTCTCCCCTCCCCTCCCCATCCTCTTTTCTCCCTCGCCTCCCCTGCACTTGCATGTAAAACGCACAGCAAAACATGCTTGACACCGTTGAGCAAACATTTGGACATCGCTGCCACACTTGACTCTCTCTCAGCTCACCAATGTTATTTATTTATTCATAAAAAAACAGAAACATTTCGCTCTCGATGCCGCCTTGAAGCCCACTCTACCCGTCATCTTGTCTAGTGGCAAAAAAAAAAAAAACCCAAAACAGATTTCTGCTGATGCAGTGATGTCTGGAAATGTCAAGGGCTCGCTTATTGCCCCTTAATGTATCTCCCCCCCGAACTGCAGTGCAAGATTTTCTCCTGCGGTATACAGCGAGCTGCTCACAGCACCGTGCCGCCAACGCCGCAGCTTTGCGATCCTCTCTCCCTTTTTTTTTATTTCGCTCATTTTCCATCTCAGGCTCCCCTCACTACCCCATTTCAAGAATTCTTTTCTTTAAAAACCTGATTTTGTATCGTGCTTTACTGACACAGTTTGGATGGAGATGGGCACAGTGAGGTTCTAGGATTTTTCTTCTTCTTCCTCTCCTTCTTCTTCTTCTTCTTCTTCTTCTTTTTGCTGGTACAATGTAAAGTTGCCACATGACACCCACTGGCGCGCTGCTGTTGGGTGATTTTACTCGAGGATAAGACGCATTCAAGACGTTTTCAAGATCAAACCACGGTAAGCCTCGAAACTTATGTAACACTTTCTGGTTAGATTATTTTTATTCATAGGTAGATTTTTTGGTGGTGGTGGTGGTGGGGGTGCTGGAGTGTTTTCACTCTAATGCTTTTGCACATTTCCCCCGCACTTGGGCTGCAGGGTGCTTACATGTACAAATAGTAATAACAGCTAATGTTATGCGTCATAATTCAGGCTGTTGTGAGTGGCGTAGGACAAATCACTGTTGTTCTTCTGTAAGAAAGAGATCCTGCGTTTCTTTGTCAGCGTTTTACAGAAATATTTTGCAACTACATGAAAATGCCAGTGGATTTTGTTTTTAATAGGAATTTTAAGCCAGGGTAGAAAATAACTGCCGCATCATATCACCACTAGAAAGTCACTATTAAGTTGTAGAGGGAGCTTTAAAGTGGTCATATTTGACACATTATACAGAAATTCTCCACCACATGTGTTTCCTTACACGTTAAATGTTGGATAACTGCACTCAATGCACACCGAGAGACATAAATAAATAAATAAATAAACTGCAGAAAATGCTGATACAGCAAATATCTTGGGCTGTTTGATCCCATTATTTCCTCCCTCCCTCTCTCTCTCTTTCTATCTCTGCCTTTCTTCCTCTCTCCTGGTGACAGAGGCAGCAGCAACAATAGCTGCAGATGCACCGGAGAGGAGCAATGGTCAAGCCAGCAAGAACCACAGTGGAGCCGCACTGAGGCAAAGCAGCCAGCCCCCCCCCTAGTATCTGGGGAAGTCTCCAACAGTTTCAGGGGTGCGGGGAGCTGAGGAGTGGAAAATTTCCTCCCAATCCTGAATGCCTGCTCAGCCAGACTAACCAACACCCCAGCAAAATTCCTCCCCCTCTTTTAATCACCTCCTCGTCCCAAAATGACCGTAGTAGCGGGCGATAATATGGACGAGACCTCAGCTGTCCCTGGCCACCCTCAGGACACCTACCCCCCTGACCACACTGACCACGAGTGCTGCGAGAGGGTGGTTATCAACATAGCCGGTCTTCGTTTTGAGACGCAGCTGAAAACGCTCTCCCAGTTTCCGGAGACGTTGTTGGGCAACCCGAAAAAGAGGATGCGGTACTTTGATCCTCTGAGAAATGAGTACTTCTTCGACAGAAACCGTCCCAGCTTCGATGCCATCCTTTATTACTATCAGTCTGGGGGGAGGCTGAGAAGACCGGTGAATGTCCCCTTGGATATGTTCTCAGAAGAAATCAAATTTTACGAGCTGGGAGTAGAGGCGATGGAGAAGTTTCGTGAGGATGAGGGCTTCATCAGGGAGGAAGAGCGTCCTTTACCCGAGAAGGAGTTCCAGCGTCAGATTTGGCTCCTCTTCGAGCACCCAGAAAGCTCGGGCCCTGCCAGGGGAATTGCCATAGTGTCCGTGATGGTGATCCTGATTTCAATAGTTATATTTTGTTTAGAGACTTTACCACAACTGAAAGAGGATCCAGCAGGCCGAATAGAGAGAGTGGGGAACATTACAATTTATTATAAGCCCGACATCCTTACTGACCCCTTCTTCATCATCGAGACTCTCTGTATAATCTGGTTCTCCTTTGAGTTGATAGTACGCTTCCTAGCATGCCCGAGCAAACCGGCCTTCTTCAAGAACATGATGAACACGATTGACATAGTGGCCATCATCCCTTACTTCATTACACTTGGCACTGAGCTGGCTGAAGACCCAGAAAACGAGGGGGTGGGAGAGCAGGCAACATCTCTGGCCATACTCAGGGTGATCCGTCTGGTCAGGGTGTTTAGGATCTTCAAGCTGTCACGACACTCTAAAGGACTCCAGATTTTGGGACAGACCCTCAAGGCCAGCATGCGAGAGCTAGGACTGCTGATCTTCTTTCTGTTCATTGGAGTCATCTTGTTCTCCAGTGCTGTCTACTTTGCTGAGGCAGAGGAGCAAGATTCGCACTTTGGCAGCATCCCGGATGCATTTTGGTGGGCTGTTGTGTCCATGACAACTGTGGGCTATGGGGACATGGTCCCGGTCACTATAGGAGGCAAGATTGTTGGATCTCTGTGCGCCATCGCTGGAGTGTTGACAATTGCTCTCCCAGTGCCTGTCATCGTGTCCAACTTCAACTACTTCTACCACAGGGAAACTGAGGGAGAAGAGCAAGCCCAGCTGCTCAACGTCAGCACTCCCAACATCCCGTCTGAAACCAACTCCAGCCGCCGTAGTTCGTCTACCGTCAGCAAATCAGAGTACATGGAGATTGATGGAGACATAAACAATAGCATCGATAACTTTAGGGAGGCAAACCTCAGAACTGGCAATTGCACTATAGCCAACCAGAACTGTGTAAACAAAAGCAAGCTGCTTACTGATGTTTAGACACTAGCTAGGAATTTTAGTCTCTCTACGAGACTGTTATAGATGGAGTAGACCGTAAGTTAGGAATGCTTCATTTACCTCCCCAAAGCACTCTATGGCATTAGGCCTGCAATTATGCTCAGCTATACCGAAAGGAAGCAGAAAAAAAACAAAACAAAGCTGTTAGAGTACATGACAGGTAGAAAGAATTATTATTCTGATACTACAAATATATAGTCACATCAGAGAGAAGACATTGATCATTACACACACACCAGGCTCCCTCGAGGACCCAGAGCACACGCCGTCTTCTCAGACCACAGTGTGATAATTAAAATCTTATATGCATGGAGTACAGATAACATTTCAGCAAGTTGCACAACCCACCAGAAATGACTGCAGACATGCAAGCATCTGCGGCCAAATGGTAAGCGCCAAAAAAAGTTAGGAGACCTCCCCCCGCCACCCCCACCCACACACACCCTCCCTCCATTCCCCGTTCTCTCCGCAAAGGATCTTCTACTCGGCAAAGCACCTTATAGGAGGAAGACTGATCTCTCTTGTTTGGATATAAACAGACGGCGATCTACTTGCTTCACAGACATCTGCAATGCTGCTGTTTCATTTTTGTTTAGTTTCGTTTTTTTCCTCAGCAGTTGCTGTAATTGTGTCATCACCAAGTGATTCAATGCCATGCCCTTTAGACGCGACACAGCACAATGAGAACGTGAGCTTCACATGAGCATGATTAGAGACTTTCCATTTTGATATCGGCATGCACAAGACATATCTCACAACACCGGAAAGGATGTTCTTTTGGATAGCTGCCTCCATTCCCTCCTACAACCCCCCACCCTGCCCCTCTTCCATTCTGTTTTCACACCGAGTGCACTGGATGAGTTTTTGGTTCGAAAATGCAAATCATTTAGAAGTATAGAAATTGAATGTTAAATCTTAAGGGAACAGTACATAAATGAGATCATAGCATGAAAAAAAGTAACCTGCATTATGGTCTGTCAACTAAGGTACTTTTGTATCCTGGTATATTTAATGCATGACGTGAGTATACAGCTTGTTGCTAAATCTTGGCACTTTGTGGTGCCCTATTGTCAGGAAAACTAAGGAAATCAAATTCTGGATGTTTCTGAATTGTGGTCAAATATATCCGAACCTACCTTCAGGATGCAGAGTTTATCATTTAAGAGTAGGCAAAGAAACTGAATAAATATTATCAAAAAAAGCATATAATCCTAATAAGCACCGATTACTGTATTAGTCAGTAGTGCACTGCATGGACCTTCTTTTTTGACAACAGAACAGATTAAAGTCATGCTTCTGTCTCCATCTCCAATTTAGGTCATGCTGGTTTTGAATCCACCGAGAAGGATATTTATCAGAAATATATTCTGACTTTAGTTGCTAGTGCCTTTCCCCCTTTCATCAACAGGACCAGTGAAAGTGCCTCTGTGTTCAGCGGTGTTTGTGTGGTTGAGCAGAGCTGGTCCACCTTCTGTCTTAGTGTTGAAACCGTGTTTGCTATGATGCTATGATGCCAAGTGAGCAGGTGATTTGGGTCAATATAATAGGAAAAAAAAAAACAGATCCATGCTGTCATGCACAAACCCGTTTTTATGCTGTCATGCACTTATTTATACCCTTGAGCAGCAATGTATTGTACTCTGCATGTTTACCACTCCACTTCAAAAGGGAATATCCATTGTTTTGTTTTTCATGCTTTTCTTTGTGCACCATGCATCCTTTCAAGGTCTCTACCTCAGTGAGGTCATTGCAAACACACTGCAGAGCTGCAAGCTTCGACGCAGGGTTTCCTATACCATAATGCAAAATGGAACCTTAAGTGTAAACTGCAGTCATGCAATATTGAATGTGAGAGTCCCAAAGCATAGCCTTTACACAAGCACTTAGGGTAAATAGTGTACCACAATCCTGCTCCTTTTTTTCACTCAAAGCTACGCACAATCAGAACGCGTTTGTAGTTTGTAGAGATTGCCTGACTCTCCTAATGGGATGAGGTCGACTTTTTAATGTGTCCGTTTCTTTGAAACAGTGCCATGTCAAGTTACCGTAGTGTCACAGGAAAATTAGCGAATGTGTTTAAAAACGGCAGAGAAGTTGAATCTAGTTTTAAAAGCTGTCACACTGAAATTTTTGAGCAATGTGATGCACAGCAAAGTGAAGCCCATCTCTTTGCACAGTTGTTTTATTCTGCTGCTTAAGTCCTTATTTTTCTTTACCAGTGAGATTTTCCTTTCTTTTTGCCTGTGCTTGTTCATTCGTCGTGCATCGTTTCTCAGCATATTGTTCCAGACAAGCAGACTGCAGATAGAGTAGAACAAAATGTACTTGAAATTCTCCAGCTACTGTACATCAACCTACACTCAGTATTGAGAATAATTTCTCTGAATGATAGCTAGATTTTATACTGTACTGTATGCTGTTGTTATTTTTGTTTTGCCTTGTTTCCTTTTACATTTAGCACACTCCTGACAGTATCCTGTAAAAAGAAAACACTGCAGTGCTACTTGAATGTCAGAGTTGTTTGGCTATTCTTTGCGGTGCTAGTACACGACTACCGTTCTTGTTTTGCTCCCTTAACACGTTTCCTGCGGCTGAAGCAAGCCTTCCTGAATCATTTTGGAAAAGATGATTTTCTTCTCAGTAATTTATCTTCCTCTCTGTTATGTTGTTGGTGGCTGGTTGAGTAGTTTGCGGCACTGTCCGTCATTTCATTTGGGACTGATCTCTGTACTGTACTGATGAAGTGTGTCCACCTCAGGCACGGCAAATGTCAGTAAATGCAAAAAAAAAAAAAAAAAAAAAATTAGAACGATATCACTCTATCTAGGATTTCTCGTAAAGAATACAAAAAATATAGCAATTTCTTACATGCAGCTACCCAGAAATCATTGAAGGATTGCATGAAACGCCAACACGAGGGGATGAAGATACAAGTGATTGCCCTCACATTTACATTACTGTCACTACTCCTGCTTTGAGGGCATGTGTGAATGGTGCTACACATTCAAATACCCAACTGAAACATGCATTCTTAACAGCAATAGAATAAGAGGTAACCTGTTCCTTAAAAGCTTTTTGTAAAAATGGGAACACAACTTTGAATGTCAGAAAAACACTTGACAGATACAACAGGGCTGCTTATGTACCAACCTCTTGTCTTTCGTTCTGAGATTTTTGCAAAGGTCAGAGGGGTCAGCTGTAGAGGCTGACATTTTCTTGTGAGAAATCCAAATGTAGGCTTTGCAGCAGTGGCCGTTCCCACTGAGCTCCCCGGTCGGACTGAAGTTTCGCTGCGAGGAACAAAGCCGCCCGAAGGGTTCAGTCAGACTTATAGCAGAGTCCCAAAGGAAGAGCCTAGAGCACACTTACAGAGAATCAGCTGTTAGAGAGAAAGACAGAGAAGGTGCCTAAATTATTTTACATCCTCATTTGTTTAGCTTCCTGTCAGATGCTATGCTTCTGCAAACAAACATGAGTGAGAAGATCTTTAAAAAAAAACATTTAATTAAGAAAAAAATATCACAAAATGTCATGAGAATAACATGCAGTTTAGCTACAGTAAGATAAAGTAACCAATATATACTACAATTATATATGAGAAACAATTTTAAAGTGTGTTCCTAGTTTCCTTTGTTTTGTTTGACTTGTGGTGGCACCGTAACATGAATGATTTAGGAAGAACATGCCTTATACTGGAATATCAAAACAAAATGTTCCTCCAAGTAAGCCATGATAATGAAACTACTGTATTATGACCACGTGCTTTACACTAGATGATATGGACAAGAAGTGTACAAACTATATATATTTAAAAAAAAAAAAAAAAAAGTTTGTCTTTTTGGTTCCAAGAAGATGATGAAAAAAAAAAACCACGATTCATTCAAAATCACCACGTTCACATTTTTTTTTCCAAATCTCTACTGCTAAAATGTATCTCTACAGAAGTCTACTAATTGCAAAAAACTGCATGATTGATGGAAGAATGCATGAGCTTTGCCTTTCAAACTGTGGATCAACTATAATACAGTTGCATCATTTAAAAGAAAAAAAAAAACAAAAGAAAGAAAACCCTTGCTTTCATCTGCACCAAGGCTTCCTGTAAGGCCCTGTTCAGAACTTGTCGTGTCCTTTGCTGGATTTCTTAAAAGCACTTTAGCGCTGACCTCATCACTGAGACGGCGTTTGTCAGCGTCTGTGCGTGATGTTCAGGTTGTGCTTGCGAGGCTCTGAATGTGAGCAAGGACGTCAAGGGCTAGTTTCTTAGACTTTATCTCCACTGTAGGACTGAAATCCTCTCTCGAACGACATTTCGCCCCCTCTGATCTCAGTCTAAACTGTAACGACAGCGTTGTGGGAAACGTGTCCAGCTTGTCTAAACAGGGCCTGTGCCACACACCCTCCTCTGTACTTCACTGGTTTAAAGGCATACTTGTTTATTAAAAGTCTCAATGTTGGACTGCTTTTTTCCATTTCTTTTTGCCTGCTTATAAAGAGGCACTGAACATGACTGAATGTTGCGATGTTGTGTATCTCACTTGCCAAAGGTGACAATACTGGGAGAAGTTCTTGTTTGTATGAGAATGGCTACGAGTTTGTCTTTTCTGTCAGGACTGTACATTTATTCACCGAAGGGGAAGGACCTGTTTTTTTGTTTGTTTTTTTGGAGCAAAGCGCCTAAAGGACTGTTGAACTCGTCTCCTCTTCTTTTCATCCAGTGAGCGAGCCAAACTCAAATTGTGTTTGTCCAATCCAGCCGCCATTGTCATGTTGTGTTTACCAAGGGTTATGCTACAATGTGTTCAGTTTGTCGGATGACGACAAAGGCATGGTCTGTGATCTATGCAAGGGTTACTTGTTTTTTTCTTATATCACTTATGATTTCATCTGACATTAACTTCAATAAATTTTTAAGGATCAGATGGTGTATGCTCATTTCAGCTTGGGAATGGGGGCGTATATCTGCAGCGTGGACGAGCTTATTCATAAAAGACTTCACTTTACCGTGTGGCTCTAACAGCACAACTTGAGGTCTCCATTTAAGTACCTTCACTACTACTGGATCCTATCACTGAAGCCATTAACAGTGATTCATGGGGGCAAGGTAATGGGTCTACACTAATCCTCCTGTCCCAGGAGGGGGGCTGCTTACCTCTGTCATCACCTCCGAGTTGTTACACATGTCAGACACCTGAAGTGCTTCACTCTGAGCCACCTTTTCATTATCTATCAATTTCCTAGCTCTATAAAATGACAGAATATAAAGAAAAGTGTACACCAGTATGTCCTGAAGCCACAAAGCAACATGCTCAAACCGCTAATTTTGTCAGAGTGAAAGTCTAAAACCCCTGCTCTACAATTACTATCAAAATATTTGCTGACCTGTTATCAGTGTTGCGGTTTTGCTCTCCATAAATTATCGTATTTTCACCATACTCTAAAACATCTTGATTTTGTGAGTGTCTGACAGAATCCGGTCACAGAGCAGTCAAAGAAAGTTAAAGAAGTGGGTGCAGTTTTTTTGAATGTAAAAAAAAAAAAAAAGAAGCTTTATTCCCACTCCTGTCCTCTGACGGTGTGACGTTTAACACCTACAGCAGAGAGCCATCCTGGTGAATGCTGCAGCTTGTCTACCGCTGTCCACCTGACTCTGCCCATCTCACTTTCCCTGCTTTTTGTTTGCCGTACGGTGACCTGAACAGAAGCGAGCCTCTTCTCCCTTCCTCTGCATTGCCCTCAGGAAATGCAGCACTCCTCACTCTGCAGGCAGCAGCAGTAAGGGTGGGGTGAGTTGGCGCTGGTCCCGCTCTTCTTGCACATAGACTCTCTCACTCTCTCTGCTGGTAAGCCCCGCTGGACTGGAATAACAGAAGGCAGCGTGCAAAAGAGGGGCTCGGTAACAGCAGAGGATTTCACACCACTCTTGTTAGTTTTCTACTCTCTATTACATGCATTTAAACCAACACAGGCATCCCAAGATTCCACTGAAACACAAATCTTTTGCCGTCACGCTCAGGCCCACTTTTTTCCCTGTCTCCTTTACCTATTTGCAGTGTAGCTTTTCTGTTTTCAGTCTTTAGCATCCAGTTTTTATTTTCATTTGAATACTTCCATAACTAAATTGTTGGCCATTTATATCTGGTATGAATAAATAAATACTTGACTACTCTGACATTGTTTTGTTTCTTTCTCAGCAAAGACTGATCCAAAATAACAGTGCAGTGAGTTCATCATTAATAAAGTTAATGAAAGTGACTGTTGATCCCACAGAAAGAGTCAATTCAAAGCTGTTTAGTCAGCTAAATATCGCCTTACTTTGAATTCAAAGGAGTGTTGCATTGCTACAGTTTAACCATGGGACCAAACTGATTGGCTGTTAATAAAGTCATAATTATTATATGGGCGATCGTGGCTCAAGAGTTGGGAGTTCGCCTTGTAATTGGAAGGTTGCCGGTTCGAGCCCCGGCTTAGACAGTCTCGGTCGTTGTGTCCTTGGGCAAGACACTTAACCCGTTGCCTACTGGTGGTGGTCAGAGGGCCCGGTGGCGCCAGTGTCCAGCAGCCTCGCCTCTGTCAGTGCGCCCCAGGGTGGCTGCGGCTACAATGTAGCTGCCATCACCAGTGTGTGAATGGGTGGATGACTGGATGTGTAAAGCGCTTTGGGGTCCTTAGGGACTAGAAAAGCGCTATACAAATACAGGCCATTTACCATTTATTATTATTTAATGAGTCACTGGTATTTAAGTTAAGTAATTAATATTTTCAGTTTTTGAGCACACTGGAGGCACAAATCTGCTTTTACAGTTCAGGATAACACAGTAAACAAGATCTTGATGAATTCCAAATTATAAACTGTTCTCCTCTGACCTCTGGCATCATTTAAGTAGAGAACTGCCTTTTTCTCTAAACTCCAGAAATGGTTGTGTGGGAAAATCCAAGTACATCTACCGTTTCTCAGTGTAACCTGTCTGGGACATACAAACACACCAAGTTCAAAGTCACGTGAATCACCTTTCTGCCCCATTCTGATGCTGAGTTTGAACTTGACCAGGTCGTTTTGACCATGACTACATCCCTATGATTGTAACCTTTAACCTCTCGTGTTTTGCTTTTTCTTTAGCTATAACGATTCAGTTCAGTTCAATTGTATTTATATGTACAGCCTCAAATTACAACAAATCACAACAACATGTGGACATCCAGAAGTCCAAAACAGCAAATGATGCACTATAAATTTCTACACCAGTCTTACCTTTATATAAGAATAGATTTTGTTATTTTGTTGTTATTTTGTTTGATGCTTTTATTTTGGTTAGCATGTTGGGATTGTGAATGGAGTAGGGTGAGGGTTTGTGTGCTGTCTGCACCTCTGTGACTATGTTGGCCTCTATTTTTCTGTAACAAAACCCATAAATAATTTATCTTTAAAAAACAAACAAGAGTAAATTGTCCATTTGTCCTGATCTATTTTTAGCTAAGATTTGGTAATCTAGTGAATATTTAAAGCAGGACGAAGGTGTATTTATGGCAGCAAACATGATTTGTAAAAACACTGTGGCACAAAGAATAGAGACTACACAAAGCATTGACTAACACACATGTTAGTGTGTGGGCTGTGTGTTAGGGTACTTGTTTACAATAGGAAACAAATATCTCCAAGGGCTATGAACCAAAGGTTGAATATGAAGTATTTACTTCCGCAGTTCATGTCATACGATAGAGAAAGCATTATCGTTTCAGTTTGTCCGTTCTATTTATCAAAGCCTTCTAAATGTCGTTAACAGAAAAAAATAGAGTTGGTGTGTT